ACAACAACAACAACAACAACAACAACAACAACAACAACAACAGCACCAGCACCAGCATCAGCAACAGCAACAGCAACAGCAACAGCAACAACAACAGCAATAGCATCAGCACCAATAGCAACAGCAACAGCAACAGCAACAGCAACAGCACCATCAACAGGAAGTTGTACCCTGACTTAGATATGGGTGCACTAAGATATGGGTGGCTTAGTACCCTGACTTGTGCACAGGAAGTTGTAGCCTTCACACCAGCAAGGCTTGCCGGAGGATTACTGCATACAAGACTCAAGATTCAATTCACAAGACCGTGAAGAAGACCTCTCGGTAGGTCATTGAGAAGTACTAAGTTAGTATTGAAGCTCAAGACTCCAGTGTCGGCAAGCTCCGCACTGGCAAGCCAAGACTCGATAAGATCCTTGCCGGGAAGTTCCCCCTCCTGCTTTTCGGCTGCTCCACATCATCAACTATTGATGGCTTGTCAATATTAGGTGTCGAGCGGGCAGGCGGCTTAGGGAGGATCATCAGGATGCGTGTCAGCATGTTGCATAAAGGTTAACTTTATTGACACCCATCTAGTGGACGTGTCAAGATGATAGGCTCCCTCGGACTGACGACACAGAAGGAGAGACGCTGTTTGTGAAGGATCGCTATCAGCTCATAGTGCACTAAATGCCCTTGTCCTAGTCCGGTGGGATTAGGTCGGATAATGTCAAAGCCACTATTCCACACATGTGATGACCATGTTGCCACTATGGTGACCCCTTTTCATCTATAGAAGGAGTCCCATGGCTACTTGGGCATGGGTCGGCACTTTGCTCACACTTACAAAGTAGTTGCACCTTGCATGCACCTTGTCTGCAAGCTATGCTTGTTTGTAACTTGAGCCCCAAGTCAATCACCCAAAAGCATTGCCCAAAAGGCCGGAGTAGGATTTTACGCCCCCACGGCAGGTCGAACCTGGAAAAACCTCGCGCATTAACCACTGGATTTGCTCTCCATGCTCGTCGATCTCCCCAACCGAACTACAAAGGGGCCTCGCTGGTCCCATAGATCATCATACCCTGGCAACCCTAGTGACGACGCCGAAGAGATCAACCAAATGGGTGTGTTGCACCTCCACTATATATAGGCACCCATCGCGGGCTCAACACTTGGGCCTCGCACAAATCCTAAAGCCCAAATTCTGTTCGGCCTGGATACGAGTCCGCGTACACTTCTGACTCGTGGAGTCATATCCAGCCTCACAGGCTCCTTCCATTAAGTGTGAGATCCATTAGGTTCAAGTCGTCTTGGTCGCAGGTCGGATCACCTCCGACTTGCTCGGCTAGTAGCAGCCTCTAGAAAAGCGTGTCAACCACCAAGTAGACAATGAAGCCAGTTGGCGAACTTGTACAACATGTCACACTTATGTTCCCTTTGCCACACGATATATGTTGTCGGACTCAAGGCGAGTGTGGCATCCTTGTGCTAGCCCGACCTCTTTCTCGCTCTAGTGATGCCGACCACTAACCAGATTATCTCATAATCCTTGTCGCATGGACATGCTTATCTTGGTCGGATCACACGAGGGGCCCAGAGTATATCTCTCCTGATCGGAGGGGCAAATCCCATCTTGCTCGACCATGTCTCGCAACATGGGTTTGGACAATCCCGAAACCTACCTTTGTAACTACCCAGTCACGGAGTAGCATTTGGTCGGCCCAAAACAGGTTTGTCACCATCCCGAGTACATGCGCTAGCTCAGGTTTTAGGACATAAAATGTATGTTGTGCTAGAGACTCACAGATGACCTATCGCTGCGCCTTATAGTCGGGTCTGTCCGAGTCGGACCTTATCTCGACTCAGATCTGACTATGTCGAATCTGACCAGATCCTTCCGAGTCCATATTATAGGCTAGCATCCAATGCTGGCCAGTGAGGCCGAGCCATCCACCGTGTCATATGCTAGTCTAGTTGGTTGCGTGCCCACACAACCCTTTCAACTAGGGACCTTTTAGGACAGTCTTTATTCATAAACACACAGGAAATATCATCATACATGATTGCCTCTAGGGCATATCTCCAACATATTTGGTGGTCGATATGTATCTTGTGGAGACTCGAACTGGTGGCGGATATGTGTGTTGGAGATGGACTCGGATTGGCGTGATGGCGGCGGATATGTGGTGTATGGCAGCGGCGATGAATATGGTGCGGCGGCGGCGTGACAACCTATGAACAGACCTCAGAACTGTAAGGTAACTAGACGCTAAGACCAACAACTTGACACGATGATGCAGCCGTAAATTCAACAAAGCAAAACACTGAAAAGATTGTGCAAAGGCTCAGATTGGTTCAGATGTGATGAACTAACCTTAATTTTGGGGGGGGGGGTTTCATGGACTATAGGTATGACAATAGATGCGATCTAGACTACAAAAAAACTAGTAAAATCTCACCAAGCAACCTAGAAATCTGATAGCACTTGATAGGGTCGAAGGTCTCCCGTCTTTCAATGAGATAGTACCTATCATTTTCGGTGGAGTGGACTTTGACGATCCGACTACAACGTACAAAGACGTCGTGCCTTAGCAATCGCTAAACCAACTCCAAGAGGTTATTGACCACGCCGGAGCACGATCAACCTGACCACGAGGGTTTATTTCCTGCAGGCAAACGAAGAACAAGTAAGAAACTGAGATTGCAATCTGGATATTGCAAATTTGAGAGGAAAGATTTATTGATCAAACTGGGGTTCTGAAATATCTTGGTCTGGTCGCTGAACACAAACGAAGCGTGTTTCACTATGGCGAACTTTACTTTCAACAAAACCCAAGTCTAAAACCACGCCCTAATGGCTGTATTTATAGGGAGACAGAGGGGAATTTCATCCACCCTTGACAAGGTGGGACTAAATTATTTCCTAAGTCGTTTCCCTATAAATACGGACTCTAAAAACTGCCTATTAAGTGTATTTCAAAATTACATGGGTGTGGCCCGAACATAAGGTGGTGCATCACCTATATTAGGCTATGAATGAAATTTATGAAAGGTCGTCTTGCCATCATAGTAGCTCCAAAGTGGTGAAAACTCCACTGAAAACTCCGTTCTTGTTTCCCTTGCATGCGCCATCCTCTCCATGCTTGATCATACTCCAATTTTCACTCTTTTTGTCCATGTTGGGCCCTTCATTTATAAGCAAAACAAATGTATCCAATTTATGCAGCATCATATTCCCATGAACATTAGAATCGTTACCAAAAAATGGAAGTAACTAATAATTTAATTGGCGTGCGCGAGCTCTAGTAATTAGTCCAGTATATGTAGCAGCAGGGGTTGTGGGTGCGTAATAGCGATGTCCTTATCATCCATATATCTACTTTGTCAGACTTTGTTTAATAAAGATGAATATGTGCATCGCATCGCTTGATGCAGAGGACGGGGTAATCCCCCTTTTCAAAAAAAATGAGGAAAGGTGGATGGGATTAGGGGAGGTTGTCTTTGAAGACACGGCAGGCTCATGAGAGACGCGCCCGTCCGGCACATACAACAGAGTAGAATACGAGAGTTGCTAGGAATCAAGAGAATTGTTCGGTCCAGATTTCGGTAGCATGTGTGCCCGAGTGCCAAGATGAATTTCCGTTTACTCCCTCGTCTGTCAGATTGTTGTATGCCTATAATATGTAGGCATGTCTACGCCAGTTTTGGCATCTCTCCCTTGTTGCCTGTTTTATGCCGATTGCAGCATTTTACTCATTCGTTTATTAGATTGTTATTGATCATGATACTCGTTTGTTAGATTGTTACTAGACCATGATACTAGTACTCTTTTGATAAATATGGTTGCATGCATCAGGATTTATTCTTATTTTTCTACACAAATAAGCTTGTTTAGTTTCTGATACATATAAAAACCCATATGAACTTCAAAATGAAGTAAGCATTAGAAGCATTACTTATTCTAATCTCGAAGTCTGGTGTGGGGCTACAACATAGATCAACATAAAGCAGTAAATGAATGAATACAGGATAAACGAGCTGATGGTGGATATCCCAATATATATATTGCCAGAATCTTGAATTGCAGCTTCTGGTAATCAAATGTACAAAGATTTGTTCAGGATGAGCATTTGATCTTGTAATGGAGGTGTTGTTTCGCTGATTTCATCATGTCCCGATTCGCAACAGCTGACCTCAAATTTGCAGCACCTGACAATGGATTATGTGACTCTTCAGGTTACGTCCTGCAATGGTCGACCACAGGTTTGCCACAAATGACTTGTGCTGACCCTTACGAGCAACAGTTTCCCACATGCATGCACTGTCGGTCTCGATACTCATTGTTGGATGCAAGATATCAACAAGAGTGATGCTCATGTTGTTGCGAATAATGCAAAGCTTACCATTTAAAGACACCAAGCCTGCGGCTTCAAAGGCTCGTGAGCTGCCTAGATGGTGCTTGCTGTCTATGAATCGTGCCCATGTTCCTGTGTTTGCATCATAGACTCTAAGCTTGCAGCCATCCCGGCAATCAGATGAATAGAGACGTCCATTGAAGGAAATGCTTGGGTTTCGCCAACCTGTAACCATTTCATCATCAATGGTTGACCACAAATTGGATGACGGTAGGTACACTTCACATGTCACTTGGCGATGGGAGTCAAGCCCTTTTAGGAACCACTTGTCATCATATACAACTCCGATGAAAGGCACCATCCCGTTGTTCATCTCAGGGATGCAGACCCATCTGTTCCTATTAGGGTCATAAACTTCAGCAGACTGAAGAGTCCTTTGTATGCCTTCACATTCTCCACCAGCAACATATAGACAATTGTTTATTACACAGGAACCAAAAAAGTGTCGCTTTCGTAACATATCTGGAGCTCGATGCCATTTGTTGGTCCGGGCATTGTAAAATACAACACGTCTCATAGAGCCCCTCAAAGGATCCTTACCGCCAAATAAGTACAGATAGCAACCACTCAGAACAGCACAGCCAAAACCCAACGCTTCTGAATACTCCGGTGGAACAGGTGGAAGGGACTTCCAGAGCTGGTTCAGTGGATCGAAGGCATGCCAGGATATTTTCCCCTCACGATCCCTTTTAAAGACATAAACCCATTCTTCTGCCATGCTGAGTTTCTTGCGCAAGGAATAATAGTAATTTCCTGACAAAAGGCGGTTCCATCTTTTACAAACTGTCCGGAGATTGGGGTGTTCCACTCGTGGAACCCGTATAAGACAGGCAATTGCAAGATCATCAGGAAGGCCAGGCAAAAGTGGTGCTTGAGCTCGGCACCTCTCCTTCCGCGAGCCCCTTGACTTGCGCTTGGTTAGTTTGGCATCAGGTTGCATGCACATCTTTGCTCCAGAAGCAAATTTTCTAGCATCCACGACAGTTTTAAGGCCCGTATCTAATCTGCAGTAACAGGAGACGGACTCTACCTGCAAAATGCAATGATGAAACAAGATTAGAAGTTGTGCTGTAACACGGCAAATTGTCAAATAATATGCAACGACAGCAAATATTTGGATTAAAGCCTACTAATCCTGGTCGTAGCTCAAAATATCAAATATATATAATATCTAACACCCCTAGCAGACAATAGGAGGCAGGATATTTACACTGGCAGCAACCACTTCCCAATTCATTATCACCATTACACTAGTTCGTTATGTGAAATATGATATAAAACCCAGGTAAATCCAAGTCATACAGATACAAGGTGCTTGGTCCAGTTAGTTGTCTTAAACTTACCATCAAATTGACTCTTGTTGGAAATCAACAACACAGCATAACAACACCACTAGGTTTATTATTCTTAAGTGCAAGATGAATAGATGGATGTCTTGTCCGGCAAGCAAGATGCTAGCAAGTTCCTAGGCCGGCTCGCAAGGCACGCAGCAGCAGTAATAGCATGGCGCGAGATGGGCTCCTCTCCTCTCCTCTTAAGTTATCCTAGATATTTCCTTTCAAAGAGTGTTGTAGCCTATGTTGGCTATGGCGGTTGTGGGGTGGGATACTTGCTGGATGCGAGGGTCTTCGCCGTGTAGGCACCATGGTACAGTAGAAGGGTAGTGGGGGAAGATTGGAGAATTAGAGGGGTAGAAGAGAAGCATAGGAGGGAGTAGATATTTCATTTTTCTGCTTCCTTACAAAGGGGGATACATCCTTATATAGACACTTTAGGTCGGCTACTGTTCACCGAACAGTAACCCAACACACACTGGATAATTCTAGGCTAGGCTGGGTTCATCTAGGAGACTAAGCTTAATAGACAACTGGACTCAAGATACCACAACAAAAACTTGTTTAGATTCATATTTATTAATTCATTTGATTTGGTCAGTTTCTTACAATAGTCCTTAATGTTAGAGCCATCCTCCATGTAAGACATATGGCATTGTTAATTCAATCAGGCATAAAATCTTCTCCAACCTCTTCTTTCTGTTCTCCTCTCTAATATTCTCATCCCTGCTGCAAACCCACATCCTTTGCACTTTCGCTTCACCATGCCATGGCTTCAAGTCCCCATACTGGAGGAGCTTGACAATGGAGTGGCCTCTTCTACCATAGATTCTTTAGAATAGTTGGACGGCAGAAGGTAATTTCCCGGAGGACTATTCACACATGATACAGAATATCAAAAATATCATACTGGTAACAAATAAGAACACATCAAAAAGACTATTTAAATAATAAAAACACACAGAAGCAGAAGAATTCAGCTTTGGGCAATAGGCAACATTTTTGAAGCATAAGGCAACATGAAAAGGAAGTCAAATAAATCAATGCCAAGAAGCATTTACATGCTCAAGCTGAGATTTAAGAGCACAGGCATATTGGGGTAGCAGGCACTTCTTTTACAAACAAATAACCAAATTATCATGACTCACATAACCCAGCTCAAGAACACCAATAGTCATAAACAGTACATCATGTTAGTTTCATCTGTTTATGGTGAGTAGCCATAGTAGCCACAAGAAATTCCTGAGGATGATCAAGTTCATTGAAGGATGTCTGAAGCCTGTTGAAATGGACATGCTGTTGAATATGGAAACTCATATAATGAACCTACTCCAACATGTATGCTTGTCTAAAGCAAGAAACTAAGGGTCCTAAAAGATGTGAGAGAATTGCAAGACAGTGACAACTCATTGAACTCTTGTCGCCATGCTTAAAAAATTCAGCCGGCATCGTCAAATCATTCCTCTCTTTGCAGTCATTGCTTCGGTACCATTATTTTGATTCTTCCATCGGATCAAGTAGTTCGGTCTTGATACCATGCACATTTATGCCGTATATCATGATATCTTAGGACGATCCAAGGGTTGTTACGCATAAGGAGTATGAAAGTATAGCCAAGCAAGAAAATTAAAGATATACACCTACCTGGCTAATTTGACCCAAGCCAAACATGGAGTGCCTTTGTTACAGTAGAATAAAAATAATGACCTTCTCTGAATTTACAAATATACTAGGTCAACCATTTGTGCTTGAACTTTCAACTATTGTTGCATAAGCATGGCACAATCCCAATTAAGGAATATGAACACAACCATTCGGTATACATAATTCCCAAGAAAATCACATTTGGCATGTTCCAAGGTAGTATGAGGTAATAAGAATCAGCAGTGTTCACTAGCAAATCAACACTAAGTCTACTACTACCAGTCTACAACTAGTGGCCAACAACCAATTTAGGCTCCGTTTGGAACAAAGAAAAATCAAAGGAATTTTGCAGGATCGAATTCCTATAGGAAAAAAATCTTCTTTTTTCTTCTTTTCTTTTTTCTATCTGATTGCAGGAACTTGGTGATTGCAGCTGAAGCTAAAGATTTAATTCAAAAACCAGGTCATTGGAAGATCAGACCGATGCTAGCAGATTTTTGTTAACCCTACTTCTGACCTCTCTCAATACACAGTTGAGTACATTCCTTGCATCAAAAATCTTATATTTCATTCACTTGCTAAGAGAGCTTTCTGCTGTAGATCCTCTTCTAGATGCAACTTCCTATGCAGCAAAGTCTCTGATTGTAAATCCAGATTGGCCTTGGAGGCCATCTCTTTCCCCAAGGGGAAATTACTATCTGTACATTGCCTTGGTTGTTAAATAATAAAATTTAGCCCTCCTTTGAGGGCTTATGTT